CTGTGTACAAAAGGAGATGTTTGTGACTCTAAATCTACCATGGTAATACGTTTTACTTATAATTCTACCTCTTATTATTATTTTATTATTACTATTATTAATCTCATTATTATTATTCTTGATCCATTTAAAACTATCCATTATCATTAGCATTATCTTAACCCACTTCAACACTATTATTATTATTGTTATTATAACTATTACTATTGACATCCCTCTGGTTGCAATTCTTGTTGAATTCTCTAATGTCTAATTGTTTATCTAAGTGATGTAATTGAATAGCGTAATGCAATTTATCTCAATTTTGATCTCCCATACTCTCTCTCCCCTTATCTAATTGCACATGACCTGGAAAAACATTCGCACCTGTCTTTCTGCATGACTAATTCAATGTAGTTTATTCACTCACTTATCAGTCCTATATCTCCCAATGTAATTTCAAAACTATATATATCCGTGTATGTAAAGTATTCAGTCCTATATCATCTCCCAATGTAACTTCAAAAGTATATATCCGTGTATGTAGAGTATTTAGCAGCTGACGAGTTCTACCGAAATTTGATGAATTCATTAAATCCTGCTTTATTAACTTCTATTGCTTGTTTTAAATTCGTATCGGGAAATAAATGTTTCCAATTCTTAATTTGGCTAAACTGTGATCTTAATCAGTCCCTTTGTGTGCGTGTGTGTGTGTGTATTGATCTGTCTGTGTGTGTGTTGGTATGTACACATTTGTTCTTGTTGTGTTGGGATGTTCTTACTTTCATATACACGCACGCACACACATACATACATCAATGTACATCATGTCTTTCATACGTAGGCATACATCGCTGTTACGTTGTGATTCTGACACACACACACACACACACACACAATGAACAGGGGAATGTCCTGTCCCTATCTTCTTGTATACATGGTCACATATACACACTTTCTCTCACTAACACTTATTCGTGGTGTTGTTGTTGTCACGCTTTCTTTGTGGTCGTTTGATGATTGTACACTCACAGTTTGTTAGTTAGTTGCGTGCGTGCGTGCGTACGTTGTACGTACACTCACTCACTCACACATACACACACACACAAAGTAATAATATCTGACACAATCGTGATCCTTTTTTATATATATACACTTAGAATAATATTCATGTTTTCCTTATTGTTGTAAAATCATAGAATTTGTGGTGTAGTGTGTGTGTGTGTGTGAGTATGTAAATTCTGGGAAAAAAATTGTTGTCCATCTCTTAATATGTGAATGGAATTATATTTTGTCACAGTGTGGGTGTGAAGTGCCCAATTTCTTATCTTATCTTATAAATAAACTAAGGATTTTTTTCTAGATTTTTGGGGTTAGATTAGTGATGAGTATACTTAAAGCAAAGATGATTCCCGAAACTAGGATGATGAAACAGCTGGTTGTCCAGTACTCCCCGGCTGGTTCTCTAACTGATGATATCAATCTGTGATCAACTCGTAGAAAAACAAAACTGATCCTTACAAACCAAACTGTAGAAAAGTAATCTGATGCTCGCTAGTGAGTAACTTGCTGCTGGATGGAGTTTCCTGGAGTCAGTTCTAGTGAGAAGTCGTCGTGACCAGTGAGGTCCATCCAGATGTCACGTGTGAGGATGGATGTCCCACCGACGACATTGGTTGGTGCCAGTTGCGCTAAATGCATCACGAATTGGTAGAAGTTAGAATTCATGGGCTGGCCATTGAGGTGTCAGGTCCCTGTGGGTGGGTGAATGGTATACGAGCTAGCTTGCCTTGTAACTGGAAGGTCCTGGGTTCTAACCCTCGTGGTGGGTGCACACTGCCGATGATTCTCATACTAGGATGAAACTGCTGGCTGTCCAGTACTCCCCGGCTAGTTTTCAATGGTTCTCTAACTGATATCAATCCGTGGTCAAACTCGTAAAAACAAAACTAATCCTTATAAACCAACTATAGAAAATTAAAGCAAAGAATCGGAAAGGCTCCCAAGGAATAGCTTCAAGTTTGGAAATCTTCTGCACTCACTCAGCCAGTATAAACAACAAAATTCGGATTCTGTTCGGTAACTTGCACTATGCATGAGTCATGAAAAGCATTTCCATCAGAATGGTGCAGACTTTTACCAATAGCTGAGGTCGCCGACTCCATTTTAAGAATCAAATGGCTAGAGAGAATTAGCAATAAGAAATTATGGGGACATATTAACCAGGGACCTATCGTTCAATAGATATGTAGGAGAAAATGGAGGTGGATTGGGCACACACGCTGAGGAAGACCGTTGGGTGGCTATTGCTCAAGTGGGACCCAAATGGGAAACAACAAGTTGGGCGTTAGTGCGAGGGTGACAGTTTGGGGGGTGAAGGAGATGAGAGACTATGGGGAATCGTGGGCCCAGCTAGCGGGGACCGCAGAGAATAGAACAAAGTAGAGACGTGGTGTTGAAGTCCTAGGTACTACTTGAAACCCAAGGGTACGTCTGATTGGGCGAAATTTGAAACCAACTTTCATAATCTTGTACCTGGTGTCGCACAAATGACAGGACCTCACGATAATACCAGCTTCTGAATTACGTCGGAGTTATGAGTCACATTTGCGTTCTACACGACTTCAAACCTGATGACTTACCTCCTATCATACAACCTCGAACAAGATCTCCCAACATGATTGTGACAATAATACCTGATAATCTCCCGCCCTACATTGTCCTGTAGGTATTTGGAGGGTCAACTTCTCGTGTACGGCTGGTTGGTGAACGAGGTGGAGATGCAATCTAGATGAACAGGTCCACATTAAGGGTCGCAATAAAATAGTTACCGCCATTTTCCTTTCGAAAACCTTTTAGATCTCCGCACGGAACTACTTCCTCTCAGTTGGCTTCTTTAATATAAGACTAAATATTGCCCAACTTTTCTATGTGGACGCCTGTAGCTAATTGGTCTATGCACTTGACTTCAAACCACCGGGCGGCCGGTACGAACTTCGCTCTACTTACCACAGTTGGCGCAGTCAAGTAGTAACATTAGCCCTTACAAAGTAAGTATGGCTCTTTTGTCAACTATGTGGATATGCAGCTGGCCCTTAAATTACCAACAGGTGCCGATTATTCCTTCATTTAGCATTACTCTACTTGCAGTCATTGCGTAGTTTCAGTTATATTACCTAGCAAACTTGCCATCGTCATTGAATTCAGTCAAAAGCAGTCCAAGTTAAACTTTAAGCACCACTAACTACCAGTCAGCGAATGACTAGGATGGTCCAATGAGGTTAGCCCACGAGTTCAAGGTTGTATTCCGCTTGATTCGTGTCAAATGCCTGTTCTAACGAAGTTACGCTTCCAGTTCGATGAGGATAAGGTTTTGCAGTTTCGCGCGGACGTGGGGTTCCTTAGGAAGGAGAGGATTTGTTCATGTGGAGGTGTCATGAGTCTAAAAAGCCTTAGCAGGTGGATATGTCCACCGTTTTGCAATTTGCTTGACACCAGTTAGTATTAAGGAAGGTAAGCTGATGACTTTAATATTTCGAAAGAACATTTTTTGCTAGGTCGCATCTCCCCCTAACCCAGATTTTGTATATTTGTAACTACTGGGTTTTAAAACAGCCTGTGAGAGGCGCAGCTGTTGAAACCGAAAATAGCCTCTTGTCAACAGTTCAGTGGTACCAGCAATGCAGAGACATCGCCTCATGGAAAATGGAGAATATTGTCAGACGGAGGTGTCATCTTGGACGAGACTGTCTTATTGAAGAAAAAGTACAACCGTGGTCGTGAGTGAGCCAACAATGTTTGAGTGATCGGTTCATATGACATCTCCCTGCAGATGGGATTCGTAGAGAGAATACCAGACAGAAAGTCTACTACCTTAGTTCCTATTGTCACTCGACTGGTGAAACAGGGATCTATAGTACATACTGATGAATGGAAAGGTTATAACTCGCTGTCATCCCTTGGATATATCAGAGTGAACCATCCTAGTGATTTTGTGGATCCCATTACAGGAACACACACGAATTCTATAGATTAAAAAATAAGGATCTCAAAAGGATGTCATTTGGATGAATATATGTACAGAATACGGTATGACTTTCCTACTGACACTCCTATGCTAAAATGGGAGGTGTTTCTGTCACATACCCTATGTAACAGTTTTATGCAGTTTTTGATAAATATATGTTTTCCATAATCAAGAATCCCTCTTCCATGTGATTGTTTCGTTGAAGTCCGTTCGCTGATTGGTAGTTAGTGAGTGGTACTTAAAGTTTAAGTTTGCCTAAATGTTCCCTCGACACTTATGCGCGGTACTATGACCATTGAAACACTGCGGCAATCTGCGAAAAAGGATACCATGATACTGATAATCGGAACACTGAAGGGTCAACAACGAAGAGGGTAAAGGATGTCTAAATTGGCTTCATCATGTGTTCTTTACCGTGACCAAAGCAAAACTATGGTGAGGATCGGCAGCTACTAACATCTCACTTCTCTATTCAATCTCCCCATCCTAGTATGCACAAGCCACTTAACCCACGCTTCAACGTAGCATATACCAAACCACCGCCCTCCCCCTCCGCAAGGCACAGACAATAGGAAACCGTTTCTGGTGACAAAATGGCGTATCTAGTTAAAAAATGCAAACTTAATAGGGGTGAATTATTAGTAACGTCACTGTCTACGCCGAGGACTTATATATACAGAAAGTTCATGTGACTGGAGGATGTTATCTAAACTACGCAATTGTTATTCAATACATATGACACAGTACTTTTTTTCCTGCATCCTTTTCACAACATTTCACTGCAAATTCTATCTAGGTGGACTTATGTGACAGCTCTTTTTCTCAACAAAAAACCCCACGCGGTATATGGAAGCTGAGATCAAAGCAAAACAACTTGCTCTTGAAGCATTCAAAGAAGACCGCGAAATTTTTAAAAAAAAAGAGAGCTATCAGGTGATGATAATTCTTTTACAATCAATCATACACACACACACACACACACATGCATATCAGACAGAGTTCAAATAGTATTGTGAAGACACTTTTGTTTGGTGTACACACACACACACACTTAATATACAAAGATGCTTGGAAAGAGAAAGAAGTTATAATTACTGAGAAATGTAACGAAGTTCGAAGAAAACGCTCGCGCGCACACACACACACAAGTGTACTTTACAATCATCACATGCGTGTGTGTGTGTATTAAAAAGAGAACTGGTGAATGTGAAAAGAAAATCTTATTCAAAAAACACCAAGGCAAATTATTAACTAGAAAGAGAAAAGATAAAATCAATCAGTACAGGAAAGCAGACAACTTTCAAGAAGTTAGCAATTCGAAGAATTTGTTCCTAAATGTACTTTTTTGTTGTCTCAGGTTATGTAAAACAGCACAGTAGTGAAGACTAACTGATGCCTAGTTACATCTGTTTTGTTCGTTTTATTATTTTTGTTTAATAAATGTGTTGTCCAAGCTTGAAGGTATAATGCCATGTAGTCTGGCGTTAGTTAACCTGTTCTGCGTGGATTATTATTTGAACCTCGACCCATAGGTCCATTACCCATACCGCCACGTCCACCGCCGCCGCCGCCTCTACCTCCACCACGAGCAGGTCCACCGAAACCAGAACCTCTAGATGTATTCCCTCTAGCAGAACCACGATTCTGAAAGACGGGAAAAAACAGTACAAACGAAATGATGAATGTTAATTTAACTTTACAGATTGCGAAAGTAGTGATTACGCCATATATATATTCCACACAACTTACTTCTTTTTGTTTGTCAGTGGCGCGCCACACATACTGTGTAAGAGACAGTGACTTTACTAACCTGGTTGCCTAGGGTTACGTCAAGTAAGGTACGAAAATAATGTCGAAATACAAGTAGATGAGCACTAATGGTACACAGCATAGTTCTGTATAATTAGAAGCAAGGTTTGACCCACAGAGTAAGCCATCAAAACATCTGTACCTGTGACGAAGGAATGACTATTTCCTTATTGCTGTGAAACATATTAATTTACCTACCTATTTGCATCGGTTTTAAGTTAGTTAACGATCAACCTCTACTTACACTCTGAGATTTAATCAATGCAACCATGAGCTCCACAAGATACTAACGTCAGTAGACTTACAGTATTATTGAATGGAAGATGGAACCCACAATTACGTTGTCTTACAGTGCGCTTATCGAATACACATCAAATTATCAGACGAATCTCAGTAAGGCAAACAACACAATAGGTCGGGTGTGACGATAAATACTCGCCAGCGATGACATTGGCTAGTGCCAGTCGTGCCATATCGTGAATTAGCAGAAATTGGGATTCATGGACTGCTCAATGAGGAGTCGCGTCTCACTAGTAGCTGGATAATCTACGAGCTCGCCTTGTAACAGAATTTCCTGGGTTCGAACCCAGGCAGTGGGGTGTGTGTGTGTACCGTTGGTAAGCCCCCAAACTAGGTTAACAAAACAGCTGTCCAGTACTACCCGCTAGTTTTCCAATGGTTCTCTAGCCGATATCAGCTTATGATAAAATCCTGTAAGCAATCAAATCCCTGCATTTTCAGTCAGTCGTTTACGTTTGTCGATAAGGATGCTCATCACAGAAACAAATTTTAGGTTCATTAAACAAAATGAGATTTAGTCTTCAGCAATTTCAGTAGCTTGGTATGTTGTTTGTGAAACACAAATCGCTTCTAACCTATTCACACCACCACACTCATAAGAGAAACCACTGATCATGCAACTATATCTTATTATCAGTGTCTTAATGTTGCTTATCGTAAGCAGCAAAATGTTAATTAAGTCTTTTTGTTCCGGAGATGTCAACATTAACATAACCATTCATTAAAATATACTCAAAATCATGCAGTCAGTCCTCCGTAAAACCAATTGAAATCATTGTGTGATTTAGCCTATAAAACTATGTTTAAAAACTGATTCACCTCAGAGGCTAAGGCATACTCACTCTATACGTGCCCAGGTACCACCACACCAAAGAGACATTAAACATCACGTCAAGACAACTCTAAAGATCACCATATCAAAGTATACCATCCATTTATAAGACTAGGGAATACATGTAGATCCTACATCTTACCGATACAAATTATATGAGATGTTTGATATTACATTTTATACGTGTTCTTCGTCCCCTTTCTTTTCCAATAGTTTTACCTTCCTCATTAACTTCCTATGCAGGTGTGGAAAGCTAGTCTCAACAATACTGTCAAATTATATAAAGAGCGTGTTTATATCAGTGTCTGTAAGGTATATACTTCCCAGCAATAATTATTTACAAAGGACCATTGCAAGAATCGCATAACAAAACAGTGTGACAAAAATCACCTTTGTGAATCAGTTGTTAGAAATAGTCAAAATGTTCATCTACCTAGGGGGTAGTTGCAAGTACTAGTAGTGATGACTCCTAAATTAACGAATAGGGATTGAGTGGATTGACAACTCTGATTATTTTCGGGGAGTTTCATCGACCCTAATGAACTGGTTACTAACGAATTCTTCCCAAGCAAAGGAAAAGCTTATTCGGGATTTGCTAACTTCAGTTCTCTTTCTTTTTCGCCAGCGTAACATCTGGAATTCATTAAACGACATGTCATACTGTGTGGCAATTTACTTTGTCTTACTCTACAGCTATGAGGGCTAGTTGACTGAAGGTGGAAGATTATGAAATGATCAGCATTTCTTGACTTGAAGTGCCTTCACATTTAACCGTCAGTACTGTGTGGAGCTATAGGTTTACTCATGATAAATTTAGGTGTTGAATGTTGTCAGGTAACGAAGGGAAGGTTGTGAAACACCATAAAATTGAAATAGATAGAATGTGTTACGCATACTGAGTCACACTGCCTTCCTAAGCGAGCAACAGTTAGTCAGATAAGATTAAATTTGAAGTACCAGTTGTGTTCAGACAATTTATACACTCTGGCTGTTGGTCTCAGTCAGCAGGGCTGTATAAAGTATCTGGTTAGGGTCTTATCAACGTTAAAAACCCAGTAATTGAAGACTGTTGGTGACATAGTTCACGATCACTTGCAATGGGGTGTGTATACAGTCTATAATAAATTGTTTACTTTACAACATGACGTTTTTTCGATTATTAAACCAAAATCTAAGCCTATTAGTATTGTGTTCCAAGCACCACAGAAACAAGTACTTACATCATGCGCATAATTCATTTCCGAGACACCTCGTGAATCTCCTTGTTGGCGTGGTCCCATAGGGCGTATCCTAGGATAAAAAAAGCATTTAAAGTTTAAATTACTCAAGTAAATATCGAACCCTGAGTCTATTATAGCATAATACATAATCTCTCCTTTGTGCACTTTACTGAGAACCCATACACAAACTTATTCTGATATATTGGAGTGGTATGTTCTGCAGAATAACTGACAATAATAAAACAATTATCAGAATACAACAGACAACTACTTAGAACAAAAAAACTACTCTTCACCATCATACTGAGGTTCGTTAGTACCCCACCAGGGGTCTCCGTGTCAAGTCATAATGCAGTATGTACATGTGTAGTACCAGTATGGTATTTGCCTACGACAACTAGCAAACTAGCTATGCAATCTCCCAGCTCTAGGAAGCAGAGGCAATTGTCCACCACGGTTTGTAGTTAAACAACACTTCAGGGAAAAATCAACTTCCGCACTGTAGGTGGAGGGAAAGTAACAACCATCTAAGCATAATAAATACAAAATCCATGTTTGTCAGTCACCTTCTTCATACTTTCATTCGTGACACTATTTCTCGAAAAATTTCACCTCTTAAAAAGGTGGTTGTCGTTAGCGGTTACAAGGTAAATGTTGTTGTTTGAACTCGGTTATCCGGAACGGATTATTCATGTACTGCATTGAGGACTGGTGATACTAATTAGTCGCCCAGACTGAAGTGGATGATGCGGGTCTCAAACCCTGCACTCATTGGCTGCAAGTCAATTGCTTAGACCAATGAACCATTTCTCTACAGAGCCAAGGAGATATGATTTTTGGTCCATTGAAACCAACCTGTCAACTGTGTCTGAAACTCTCGGATTGTGAATATTCGCACTTCCCCTCATCTAATAATGTTTCTTTTTGTACATTCTCGTTCACAATGGTTCCATTTCATAATTCTAGTTTGATGAGTGCTTTTCTTTCAATCTCCTAACGGAAAATACTCAAACCTTCCTTCTAATAACGAGAATGGAACAATGCCATTAAATTCCTCGCAGATGTTATACTGTACGCCATTCGATGACATGCTACAGTCGTAACTGACTAATGTACCTTGAAGTAACATAAAGTCTTCGGAAAACGCAGTCATTCTACAATCCGACTTCCCTTAGTTGCTCTAAAATAATTTCAGGCACCTGCACAGCTGTCTCTACCCCATACACAAAAGTAATGCAGTTTATGTGCTGCAATATGAAATAAAACAATTCCACATGTAATGAAGAGTGCCAAGTTTGTACAGTCATCACGTATACTAATAAGGACGTTTTATGGGTACTGATTAATGACAGGAGTTACAATGTAATTTTTCACGTCTAATGTAATGACGCATTGACTGATTGGCTCTTAAAAAGTTGCTAGACGACCAGTACTGACATCAGCCTAAAAACGGTTAGTCAACTCAAGATCAGATACATAAAATATCCGTCCAGAATTTACACTTTAGATATCAAGCTTGACGATTCCTACCACTTTTCAGTGAGAAATCTCAAGTAAACCACATGTTCAATTCTAAGTCTGCAGTAGAGCTTCATTTGTCAGTTTTAGGACTCTACTACACTGATTTTTTTACTTATCAGGTAAAGACTCATGAGTTGTGACAACGTGGTCGATTGCTATTGTTTGCCTTTTGGCTAACTCACTTTATCATGGAATGTTGTTTCCGTGTTTGCCTAAAAACAAATCACTTCCAACCTTGCAACACACATGGTTATTATATAAAATCTTAAATGTGATACTGTATTATTATTCAGTTACAGTATATTAGGGAGCCACGGTGGAGTAAACTATGGGTGGTACTTAGATTCCTGGTTAGTAGTCACAGACTGGAACTTTACCAAAGCAGGCGTTATCGGCTTTCTCGATGGATGTTTTCAAGAAACCGAACCTCAAAAAGGATGTTGAGTAAGAATTAATACAGGTTACCTGTTATATTATTCTACATCCCTGAAGCTGGTAGAAGCATTCGTCAAAACATAATTTCGTTGTAAATTAATGATCGTTTGTAATATCCTAACAGTACAAGATATACTTGTCAGGCGGTCTTCTAAATGAATTATCAACGCACTTTTTTCCTATGTTCCCGGCACATTTTGTTTACATAAGTACATAGAAATCGAGATTTACACCAAGCTTACCCGAAAGAAAAACTACTATCCATTGGGCAAATGAACAAGAGAATCACTGATAAGGATTAAAACCTGCTAGCCTTTTTTCACCACCCACCTCGTATTTTGATGATGAAACAAGGTGAACTAACACATGAGTGGATTAGTTTCAGAATAGAATCGTTTGGGATTTGTGTTTGAGATAGAAGTGAGTAGGACATGACTTACATAAAGTGAAAAAATAAAGGCTTGTCAACTGCTGGTCAGTGTGCATGACACGTGAAGACTAAACGGAATGTACAAAAGTTAGAACATACCTTTGCGGGCCATCTGGATTCACAGACTGTCTCAAGCCTGATCTGTGCTGGTCGTCTGAAGTATCATACTCCGAAGTATTTGTATTACTTCTCAAGCCTTTAGATACTTGTGCATTCATAACGGGCTGAGACGGTTGTTTAGATGCCATTTGTGCCCAACTACGTGGCCCAGATTGAACAGGTGGCAATGGTGGGGAACTAGCAGGGTGTGACTGTCTCACCGCCTCCTGCTGAATCGATGGTGAGGCAGAAGAATGTGGTGTTACGTGTTCTACAGTTATCTGGTCTTGTTTAACTTCCGAATTATGTGCCTGATCTTCTTCAATAGCTTGTTTGTAACCTTGCTCGGGTGCACTTTCCCAGCTGTGAGTGTGATCCTGGGTAGAATAGGTTAGTCTAATAATCAGTGCTTACGTCTCTGGCTGATTGGGGCATAGGACAGTGTTGGACGCTCTCTGACGGACTGAATTCATTCATGTTTGTCACATGATCATCTAAGACATATTACAATGTAAGTAAGCAACTTACTGTTTGTTTCTGCACTATTCCTGAGGTCACCGTACACAAAATCTTGGTACCGGAATATGTCATTCAAAACGTAAAAATCACATGGAGACTGTTCCCTTAAAATGAAGCACTGGGTAAATCTCCTAAATTCCCCGTTAGCAATGCTTATTTCTCCAGCAACCTGAGTACAATAAGAGAGTTGAAATAACTCACGTGAATCAACACACTGTTGCCGTTAGCTCGTAAGGCGTCTAGTTTAAGAATAGCAATCTGACAGTCCTGCAGATTCAGGCTCATAATTTTTTCGTGAATCATTCGCTGACCACAAACCGGGTTGTCTTCTCGAATCATAGACGAATCATCTTTATAAAATCGATGAATTCCAGAAGGACACTTCTTCATCACAGTATAATATTGCACAACAAACTGTCCGGCGAGACTTAATATGTCTGATGGTTCCATCCGCACAACTGTAAATGCAGAATCTGGACTGATGTTATTCTCGACTACAGACACCATATTTGTTCCACAAATCCAAACTTATTTAACAAAACCTCGATCACGACGCAAACCCGGAGTCCGGCGCTCAATCTGTGAGTGCAGTGAAACAAAGCATTTATAAAAGTTGAAGTCAGAAGACGGGTAAACTATAAACCAACAATAAAAAATTACACATGTTATCAAAATTCAAAATTTTTGACCGATAAAATCGCATAAATGACTAAAAATATGCCTGAAACCAGCGAGTCTGTTGTTTGTGCTGCGTATGTGAATTAAGTTGCATTAATAAGAGAATGAGAGTTGATTATATCTAATTCATTGCAAAGAAATTTTGCATTGGATCCTTTAGTAATAAATACAGATACTAAGGTGTCGGATCAGAAGAAACAATTTTTATAGTGGAGTTTAGTTCTTAACCCTGAGTTGACTGGGATAACCCTTCCTCCCATGAATTTGTTGATGGAATTATATTCCATATTGGCTTTCCATAATCAACCGTCTCCAGTGCAGTACGGAATGGACTGGCTGAAATTATTATGGGAGCTAATCAAATTGGCTTGAATTTTCTTATCAATTCTTTTACTCGTATGCACTTTTGCAACAAACTTAATCTTCTCTCAAAATGCATTTTTATCAGCCAGCAAGTAATTCCGTGTATCTCCTCATCTTAGCTCCTTCAGCCACTCATGATAGTGAGTCGAATGCAGGTCTCCGAATGTGTTTCAGTCCATTCACTATCTATGTTTTCAAGACGTTTATCCCCATGCATTGGCTCCTAGTGGCTGATTGTCCAACTCCAATTAAACGGACTCATTGAAGCGTCTGAGAGTTACATTATTATTATCCCCTTGTGTTCCAAGTGGAACATAGGGCTTCAACAACACACTTCCACTTTGTTCTGTTTCCTGCCGTCCCCTTTAGGTGGGTCCACAACTTCCCATAATCTCTTATCTCCCCCTCCCCACATGAACTCCTCGGTATAACCTTAGGACAACCCTCTGGTTGCTTTCCATTTGGATTCCACTCGGGCAATGGAATAGTGCACGATGTCATTCTACGGTCTCCCAAGGGGAGTATGCTCGATCCATCTCCGTTTTCCCCCACGTATTTGTCGAGCAATCAGCACTTGGTTGGCTTGCTCCCAGGGTTTCTTGTTACTCTTGCCTTCTGGCCATTTGATCTTCAATAGGAGGCTAAGGCAACTGTTGATGAAAGTCTGCAATCCTTTTCGTGGCACACATGCATAGAAGGGCCGAGTTGACACTGGCGCTGAAAATCCGCGTCTTGTTCCTCAGGCTGAGTGTCAAAGGTTTTCTAACTGGTTTCAGGTCGATGAAGGCGCATCTTGCCTTTCCGATTACAGATGTTTCGGAGTCTTCTTATCGGTGGTCCAACGTACTCCTGTCTTCTCACTCCCATACAAAGTCTGACGCATAATCCAGTCCACCACAATTAAGATATCATCGGTGATAATAGGCAGCCAGCCTTGTCTTACTCCTGTATACACTTCGAACGCCTCGCTGAGTTATCCTTTGGGGATCACTTGGCACGTGGCACTGTCCTGTAGCCAGCTGTTGAATCAGGTCGATAAAAACTTGAGGCACGCCGAAGTGTTGAAAGAGTTTCCATATTACTTCTCGCTCAACGTTGTCGAAGGCTTTTTCGAAGTCGATGAATTAAGTTGAGGTAGAGGTTTGACAGTTATTCTATGCACTGTTCGATGATGACGCGCACAGTCGCAATTTCATCAGTACATGATTTGCCTTTCCTGAATCTAGCTTGTTCCGGTGGGTGGTGGAGTTCTGTATCCAGTGCATCTTTTATTCTCCCCAGGATGATGTGACTTAGCATTTTATTTGGCGTGGACAAGAGCACGATTCCACGCCAGTTCTTGCAGAGTGAGACGTCAGTCGTTCCTCTTTGGTAGCTTGACGGGGTAGCCTTTCTTCCAATCTGTAGGTGCATTCCCCTCCTTCCAAACTTTTTGCAATAACGGCGTGGATGCATCTGTTGCAGTCTCTGGGTCCGTTTACAGTGCTTTGGGGGGAATTCCATCTGGGCCTGCTGCCTTCTCGGACTTTAGTAGCCTGATAGGGTGTCCACTAGCAGGCAGTTCTAAGAGTGCTGTTGGTGGTAGTGGTATTTCTTCTCGAGTTGCAGGTGATGTTCAACTTAAGGGTCCTTTGAAGTGATCAGATCGTTGTTTTATTTGTTTCTCCCCCTTGGTAATCGGGTTCCCCTGGACTTCTTGTACTGGTCTGATCATCTATGTTGATTTCTTCCCGGATAGCGAGCAGCCTGGTTATCTGATATAATGTTCTGAGGTCTCTTACCTTTGACCTACTCTGCTTTGGTCGCCAACATGTTGAAGAACTATCTTTTTTCTTAGCTTCGTTCCTTGTTTCTTTATTCAGTGCAGTTCACATTGAACTCGACTCTTCTTTATGTTGTCCATCTTTGCATGGAGCCATCTTCTCTTTCAACATCTTCCTCTCCTCTCGTCCATTAGCTTCTAGGTATCCGTTGGGAGCCATTCCTTTTCGTGTCTCTTCTTTCTTCTTAGAACATTTGCACACGTTTCCTTCAACGTCACCTTCAGAGAGCTTCAATGTTCTCCCACTCAGGTTTCCTCAGTAGTGCTACGTAGTGTCTCCGACTTCTCTCTCATTTGATCTGTAGTGAAGGCATCTCTTTTAGTGTGTCCTTCAGTTTCTGAATGCTGAACTTAAATTATAGTGGTCTGTCTCCAGTTGTTTTAGAGGATTTCAGCTTCACCCAGAAGGCTCCCAGAACTAGATGATGGTCTGAGGACATATCTGCTCTCCTTCTCGACTTTGTGTCCAGCAGGCTGCTTCTCTACTTCCTTGAGATTGATATGAAATCTGTTTGGTTTGTCGTATGTCCATCAGGTGAAATCCATGTAGCTGTGTGTATATTCTCGTGTTTGTACACGCTGTCTCCAGTTACCAGATCTCTGAAAGTGCAGAAGTCTGCGAAGAGTTATCGGTTCTCATTCATTTCTTGAGAGCCTCTCGACCCATGATGAGTTCTCTTCCTGTATTATTAGCTCCCACTTTGGCATTCATATCACTCATGACGATTTTGATGTCATCATTCGGGATGTTGTCCATTATTCTTTGTAGTTGTCTGTAAAAATCTTCCTTCTCTTGTTTCGGGTTGTTCGTAGTACTATGCGTAGCACTGCCTAACTGTGATCTTCCTTCCTTTTGAGTTGAATCTTGCTGCCATGATCTTGGATGAAATTGGTTCCCACTGCTTTAGAGATCTGGCTGCTGTTGGTGACATTATGATAGCCACTCACTGCCTCAGTGTACTCGTGGTTGTCAACTGGGTGACCATAGGGATTGGATTACTGACTCTCAAGTTGACGATTTCGACATTCCACATCCACTCCATCTGCCCTCGCAGACTCCTAGCAATTCCATACCGTACTTCTTATTTCTTTGGTTACTTGAGCACCCTTTCCAAGCGGCTTCGTACGTCGTATGAACGTTCAACGTCCCCATTCTTGTTCTTGCTTTCACTGAGAGAAGATAAATCGGCTGACTGGCTTCCCGAAGGATTCTACCAGCCGGCATCATTTCACATCTCCGATTCCAGCGAGGAATAAGACTGTTATTTGAATTCGTTGTATTTCAAATACATTTTACTGCGTTTAAGATTCTCAAGCGGTTTCATAGCTTATGCGGTGTAGAGTTACTAGGTCCAGGTCCAACCCCCTACTCCTTACCCGGGCTAAAGAACTAGCAAGCTGGTTCACTAGATCTGAAAGTACTTCCACATAAACTCCGTAAAGTTGACTTCATTACTAGCATAAATCCTAGTTTATGCTAAGACATGAGGCAACTGTGTGGAAGACTTCTATTGGTCGAAAGAAAATTTCTCCCAGGCGATACTGAGTAGCACCGGATAAAAAACAGTAACCGACAGAGCTTCTTTCAATGCCTGAATTAATGAGTATGGTTACCTCTTTTCCTCAATCAGTGTGGATTATATGCAACCTGGTCAGGAAGTTTACTGCAGGCGAAGAAAATGCCTTTGGATATGCGTTGTCGTGTTCTAAAATGACAGCTGTACTTTTACTGGTGGAACAGAATTTCACCATGAATTCCATTTTTGTCCATCAGAACAGTAATCAGAGCTCATAGTTTTATCTGTGACGTTAGAAGCTAATCAGGTAGGCTATGTCTAGCAGGTGAATAACCCACGATTCTTCTGGTAGAAGTAGAATCTGTTGTAAGTTGCAGAAATGGCAAATGCAAACACGCAAAAGTCGACGCTCACTAAGCCACTATTTGTAAGGAAGGACATACTGAGGTTTACAGAGGCTCATCCTGATAAAAAGATTCAACAGAAATGGTGGTAAGTAGAGCATTCTGCTGTTCATATTATTTATTACGCGGTACGTTCAACGTTTGCGTTACATTTTTGCGTGATTCGTTACATAAAATTTATCTTGTTGTAATCCTTGCACAAGTACTCTACTACCTCCATACCTATAACCATTATTTCTTATATCGAATAGTTATGGTTAATCAAAGTAAAAAGCAACGAACTCAATCCTCTGTAAATCTGATGACTAATTTTAAGTCGTTGATTGCTACATCAAGCAACACACTCCCTACAAATGGTTATAGTGAGCCACATAACTCACTTGTATGTCGTAAGCGTAGAGCTGAAACTGAGGATAAAACTGTACTGACAGCTAGTATTAGCACTACTCCCAAAAATTCAGTAACCTCTGCTCATGCAGAACCCCTTCCTTCACCGTATGTGCTTATCGAAAAACTCCAGCCATCGAGCTCTGTTTCAGTACTATCTTCAGAAATAGAACTTCTAAAGTTGTCTTTAGGAGAACTTAAGGCCGAGTTAAGAGAAATAAAGAACAATAAGTCAGTAAATCCTGGAATTTCTGAAACCAATACCAAAATATCCAAATTATCAGATCAGATCAGCGATATCAGATCACAGGTCTGTGAACTGGCACCTCTTACTATCCTCATGAAAACTGTAAACCTTAACAAACTTGACACAGAATCGGTAACTAAGGTAGATAACCTCAT